GATCTTACTTTTTCAGGATTTGACCCTCTCATTGCTTTATTATTCATTCCGATAGTATTTTTTACTGTTAAAAATATATAGTTGAACGGCTCTTTGTAGTTTCTTTCCTGCACTTCAGTTCTAACGGACTGTTTCACAAAAATAACCATGAGGTTCTAGTGTTTTGGTGCTTTAGCACAGAAACAAATGTTGCTATATTGTGAGTTATCTTCAGGGTTGTTGTTTCTAAATTCTGTAAATACAAAATACACGTATCATACAACCAATTTATTACCAAATGATACTCAGTCTAAAACCATGTGTTATAAATACCAATGTTAGTCTATCTCAAGAGTAGATCCGTTGAAATTAATGAATGTAAGTAACAAGTTCATTCATTTAAGTGAGCCTGCTCAGAGTAGTCTGAGGTGGCCTCAGTAGCATGGAATGCCATATACCAGCTTTGGCTGGTGCCCTAGCTACACACCTATCTGGACAGGGGTAGTTCTGTTACCTACACTCGTAACCTGTAGGCTAGATTGCTGCAATGTGTTATACATTGGGCTGCCTCTGAAGATGGTTTGGGTACTTCAGCTGTTGCAGAATTCAGCAGCCAGCTTGCTCACCAGGAAAAACAGTTTGAGCATATAGCACTGATCCTAACCCAACTGTATTGGCTGCCACTTGGTTTCTGGGCCCTATTCAAACAGCTGGTTTTGACTAGTCTCAGGATCACAATACAAGGACTGCCTCTTTCCATATGAAGTAACCTGGGCCCTGCAACCATCACTTGGTCATTCTTCATATGCCTCCTCCGTGAGAGGTCTGAAGGGTGGCAACATGAGAATGGGCCTTTTCTGTGGTGGCTCCCTGCTTGTGGAATGTTCTCCCTAGGAAGGCTCACCTGGCACCTCATTACATATTTTTAGGTGCCAGACAAAAATAATTCCTCTTCAACCAGGCCTTTGATGGTTAAACAGTCTATGGTCTTAAGTGTTCGGGGGAAGGTTATTAATCATTGTTCTGTATTTTGTGTTTTTATGTTGTAATCTGCCCTGTGATCTTTGGGTGAAGGGTGGTATATAAATTTAAGAAAGAACCCTTGGCTCCGTGGGTTATGTGCTTGATCTATTTGCTTGCTTTGTTTGCAGTGTGCCAAAAGCAGTGATGCATTTTCTGGTTAACCACGTGAAAGACTCTCTTCAGAGTGAGCTAGTAGGACAGCTGTACAAAGCCTTATTGCTGGATGACCTTTTGACTGAATCAGAGGACATGGCTCAGCGCAGGAAGGAGGCAGCTGATATGTTACAGGTACTGCAGTCCCTTTTCTGTAACAAGCCAAGTTAGTTTGGTTATGTACACTAGTATAGTTTAGCTATTGTGTCTTACATGGGGGTTTGGTTCTAAGGGTTCTGCATATATGCAAAAACACATACACTCAAACCCTTGGAACCACTTCTCCAAGCTCTGGGATTCTCTCATGGGACCATTTGAATTCCTCTGAGATCTTGTGGGAGCATCCCAGACCTGGCACTTAGAGGCAAGAACGTGGCACAAAAAGAGCTTTAAAGCTCTCTGCCTTGCTTGGGAAGCAAGGCCCTTTCCATATGCCGGGTTCACTTTTAACTTGTGGGATTTCAACCAGATGGCCTTCAACTGTGTAGGGTTGAAATTGTGCAAGTTAAATGTGCACAAGATGCAGTTGTACTGCACCCAAAAATTTAAGATCTAGTTAGTGCACTCTTTGGCTGAGGTCATGAGAATTTCTACCATTCCTTTTCCAGATAGGAAAAAGTGTACAAAGTTCATTGGCTATAGACATGATCAGAAATAAGCAGTGTTTTGGCTTGGTTTATGAACCAAACCAACCCATCTTCCCTGAATCTTGCAGCATGTGAGATCTTGCAGAGGTCAGTGCTTTGTTGGCCTCACCCCTCGTGCTACCATATTCAGCCATCACTTAATTATTGCCCAATGATTTTTATTGTATTACTTTTGTGGTTTATCTCTGCCTGTGACTTGACAAGTATAAATCTCAGCAATTTCTGTTCTTGTCCTAGGCCTTGCAGCGAGCCAGTCATATTATTGCTGAGATTCGAGAGACACACCTTTGGTGAAGGGCTTCTCCAGCTGGATGAAGAAACGGATGACTTGAAAATTGCTAGGCATTATATATACTTATGAACTTCTATGTTTACTGCAGTATGTATAAATCTGCTCACATAAAGACAATTCAGTTTGGCTTTCTACAGACAGAAAAGTATGCTGTACTTGCAAAACAAGTCTCATATAATCAACGTATTTTCTTTACTAGTTTCCTGGTGCAAAGACCAAGGTCTGTTCTCCTGTGAGGAATTGGACTGGACTGAACTTAAGGAAAGAACCATGTAAAAATTCCAGTGCCTGGCTTGCTAAATGAGTTGCCTGTGGATAGGATGAACAGTGTAGTATTGTGATGTAGCCTTTTAAGCTGGTTTTGCAATATAGGTTTTTCAACCATGAAGAAAGGACACCACGATATTTTCTTTAAGATGAATTTAATTGCATGCACTCTAAACTCTCAAACAGATGAACAGCACAGTAGAAATACTGCCTTATAAACTGTGTAATGTGTACCCTCATGTTTTAGAACCTTAAAAGAAATATCTAGCTAACTTCCAAAATGCATTGGCTATTTTTGTCCTTTAGCTAGATAAATCTGGAGTAAGTGGAGATTCTGCTAAGAAGCATTATCAACAAAGAAGTAATCAGAATTTGAAGAATCCTCATGTCTGGGACCAAAATCCGTGGACCATCCACTTGTAGAGTTCCAGACTAACAAAACAGCAATATTAAAAGGTACTGTTGCAGATCAGGTTTCTCCTAAATCATTGTGAAAAGTAAAGAAACTTTAGAAAATATTGATGTAAAAGCAGCTGGCCTTTAGATTAATTCAATGGTCCCAAACCATTACTGTTTCTGAGCTTCTTTCATCTTAGTTGTTGGTGTGGTAACTTGCTTGATTGTCTGCCATAGTCACCAAAATCGACAGTAATGACACTTTAGTTCCTGAAGATTTTGTAAGTTTATGTTTAACGCACAGTACACCTGCTCACACACAACATTTTTCCTGCATGGAAGGAAAATATGTGTTACGTTGGAAGAACTATGTTTTTAGATTGCTGTGAGGTGCATATCCTAAGTAGATATTGCCTTCCTCAACATGTGTACTTGTGGAAAAAAAATAAACCCTTGGCCTTCACACATTGTGTACAGGATTTTATCCACTCAGTCCTTACACAACAGGCTGAAAAGAGTAAACTCAGCTTATACTTGAGACAAAAGGTATTGGACATTAAATGAGAATGTTCAGTAGCAGTTTGAAAACATGCTATTTCTCTCTTCTTCCCCTTCTAGTATATTTAAACATACCGTATTTGAGATGGTGCCTTTAAGGGTGCAGGCACTTGGAACCCTCCTCAAAAATCATATATACAGCAAGCATATTGAAAATAAAATCATGCTTTAAGATCACTTCTGATGCTTTGGCAAATCTGTGGCATGATGGTACTTAAGTCAGCCTCCTGAGGGGTATGTTAACCTACTAAGTTCAGTGAACCTGTACCTAGTGCCCGCTAACGTAGAATTACCTCATTCCCTCTATTTCTGTTCTTCAGGCAAGAATGCTGTCACTTAAGTAACCAAAATGGCACCACCCCATACCCAAGTGGGCAGCATGGGTGGGAGAACTCCTATGTTTGCAGAAATACAAAAAAGTAAGACTTAACTAGAGGGAAACCCAGTCCAGTGAGGGGTAAGGATACCCAGTACCCATGAAGTGCTGTTGAGTGGTGGGGGTCATGCCAGGTAGAAGGAAGAATGGGCTAAAGTAATTTAGGGCATGAAACAAGAACACTCTACTGATGGGGCTATAAATCTCATGTTTCACTAAAGAATTAACCTGTAAAGGTGAAAACTTCCAGAAGTCACTATTTTTAAAAAAACAACAACCCAGTGATAGTAAGTATCAGGTGTGGGGGCCTTTGGTCCACTAGATGTTACTAGCTACAACATTCACCATCCCTGGCTGTGCTTGCTAGGACCAATGGGTGTTGAAGTTCAGCAACATCTGGTATAAATTAACAAGGTTGCTGACCTGCAATGGTTAAAGGCCTTTAGAGGATGTTTGACTGATAAATTTGTCAAAAGATAAAAAAAAGATAACTAAGAATTAATTCTGAGTAGATGTCAAATTACTATGAGTTCTAATTTAGCCTGTCTCATTCACTGTTTTAAAAGGTATTGATTTTGCCAGACACATTAAGACATGGCCTGGTGAAACCAATGAGCACTGTCCCATGGAAGTAGGATTCAACATACCGTATTTTTCGCACCATAGGACGCACCGGACAATAGGACGCACCTTGTTTTAGAGGGGGGAGAACAAGAAAAAAAAAATCTCTCCCTCTCTGCCCAGCGCCTCTTCAGCGAAGTGGCAGGAGGCGCTGCGCTGAGAGGGGGAGAATTTCCCCCCTCTTGTTTTCCCCCTCTAAAACAAGGTGCCGTTTTAAAGGCGGCTACCTTAGAAGCCTGGAGAGCGAGAGGGGTTGGTGCGCACCGACCCCTCTCACTCTCCAGGCTTCAGGTTCCTTTCGACCTGCTCTTTGGGGCTGGCGGGGGGAAGCCCACCACCAGCCCCAAAGAGCAGGTCGGGGAGCAGCGCAAAGGCGTGCGGCTATAGAGGCTCCTGCCATAGCCGCATGTCACCTCTCCAGCTGGGAGAGGGTCGCGGGGGGCTTCTTTAGCCCCGTGCGCGCTCTCCCGGCTGAAGAGATGGCACGCGGCTAAAGAGGCTGCTGCAATTGCTGCGTGTCACCTCTCCAGCCGGCAGAAGGTCGCGGGGCTATGCTGTCTTCGCTCCATAGGACGCACACACATTCCCCCTTCATTTTTGAAGGGGAAAAAGTGCGTCCTATGGTGTGAAAAATACGGTATATCCTTGCTTGCTGGGTATCAGAGGTACAGTAATGTGCAAATAGTTACCATGTATGGTGAACCACAGCCTAGGCCCCCTTATGTGACCCTCATAATTCTTTCCCAAGCCACACTGGTCACTGGCCTTGCACACTGAACATTTTTGCATAGCTGGAATGGGTCCTTGAATTCAGATACGGCTCTTGGTTGCCTGGATGGAGGATAGAGGGGACATATGTAGAAATGACTGTAAAAAACTAAAATTTATAATTACATTTGTTGCTCTGCCCCCATTTGCTGTATTCATCACTGGCAAGTGGACATCAGGATACAGCTTTCAGCCAGTAAAAGGTTCCTCACATTAATATATTGTTTATTTATTTATTACTTATAACCTCACTGCCCTCTATCAGATTTCAGGGTGGTACAGAGGTGGGGAATTAAGTCTTATGGTGGAAACTTAACCTTTTCAGCCTCAATATTGTTTCAATTTATGACACTTCTGTGATAACCATGGATTTTGAAGCACATGCCAATGTTCAACAAGATGCTGAGCATATAGATCATCTGTGGATTACTACCCCTTGAAAGAATTCCTAAAGGCAATCTTGCCCTAAAAAATACTAAACTACACAAGGAGCAGGGAACTGCCAGCCCACCAGCCTACAAGCCACACAAACACTTTCTACTGACTCCAACGGTGTTTGTCAAAACTATTGCAGTGATGTTCTTGATGGAAGCTTAACCCACATTCTCCAACATCACACATTCCTTCAGCGGTATTTTTTTTGGGGGTGCAGGACCGTGTTCTATGTTTGCAGCGGTCACCATAACCACATGTGGCATGCAGCTCCCAGAGAGATGAGAGGAAATGCAGCTTTGGGGACCAAAAAGTTCCCCAGCCCTGCTCCATCTGAATTGTGATCGCTAAGGTTTTAAAGGACAAGCCAGTCAGTCTTCACTAGAAAATCTCTTCATACTGCCATGAAGTTTTCGAATAGACCATTTCAATCTCACATAGTTTCAAGTAATATCAGCAGCTGTGAATATATTTAAAATGGCAGTTACTAATGCCACTGCTGTACTAGCACTTTCAGTATTGCTTGCACAGGATTGAACAAACCACGTTTCTATAAGGTTAGCATGCTATGTACTATATTATGCACTTTGAGTCATCGGGGTGTGAGTGTGACTGCATTTAGAGTGATTTTCATCCTGCCTTTTAGGTTTCTGTATCTAAGGCAATGGAACTACACAGCTGTACGTATTTTTAAAAAATCACTGTCTAGTCCAACTTAGAATTAAAAATGCATAAGCAAATTGAAAGATCCTTTACCTATGCAGACTGAAGGGTAGTTTATCCAGCATCAGTACCAAATGTATGTAGTTACTTTTGTAAATAAAGCTGATTGTGTAGAAACGACAGTTTTACATCAATAAACCACATTTTAAAGTATGGTCAGTTTTTAACTTCACTTGCTGAGACAGTTGCTAATGGGTAGGGGGTAAACCTAGGTCACTATGTCAAGTTATATAGTTACAATAATTTTCAGAAGGTGTGAAGTTCACCAGCTAACTCATTTGTACAAGCAGCCTTTATTTATTAAAGTGTTATTTAAAGGTGTAAAATTCAACCCAAATTTTTGAGATAGGGAGCTTCTACCTACTATGGCAGACTGGACAAAACCACTATTGGATCAGAGGCCCAACTGTTCACAGGGTATACAGTATTTTTTGCTCTATAAGGCTCACTTTTTCCCTCCTAAAAAGTAAGGGGAAATATGTGTGCGTCTAATGGAGCGAATGCAGGCTGCGCAGCTATCCCAGAAGCCAGAACAGCAAGAGGGATCGCTGCTTTCGTTGTGCAGCGATCCCTCTTGTTGTTCTGGCTTCTGAGATTCAGAATATTTTTGTTCTTGTTTTCCTCCAAAAACTAGGTGCGTCTTATAGGGCGAAAAATACGGTACATGCTGTGACCCTGAGGCAGCAGACCTACATTAACTATACTTTGCTTAAAATATAAGGAACTCCCCATTAGCTGGGAATCATAGAACTGCAGAGTTGGAAGGAACTGTGAGGGTTATCTAGTCCAATCTGCATGTTGTAAGAAAAAGCTTTTAGATCTGCTGGACATCTGTACTACCCATAGAAATATAAATTACACCCTGAGTTACAAATCCCACTCTCCATTACCTGCTACATGGGAGCATAATCTCCATATACATTCATCGTACAGCAACCTCAAGGCATCAACCCCAGCCCATTGCTCAAAAACAGCTTGATTACAAAGCAGAAAGTTCAACTGAGTAATGAAACAAGCACTATATTGTTTAGCATAAAAAATGGATTCTTATGTCTTATAAAAACCTAATTGCTGTTGGCATTACAGTGCCATAATCTTCTGTCCTCCAGCTTCCAGAACATAAAATAGTTGATAAAATAACTTGGTTTTTAAAAAATAAAACCCATTAAAAACAATGAAAATTAGGTTATCTGTGGGCTCAGGAGCTAGCTGCCTGGCTTGTCACTACTTCAAACGGAAATGGGTTCTTATGTCACATTTACTACCTTTCACATCCTTAACACACTAACAATGCAAGTAATAATAACTTTCAGGATTAATTTAGTTACCTTTATTGTAGACAAACGTTTTATAACCAATACTTACGATAACATATTTCAACAGTTGCTTTCTTTGGATAGACTCTGCATTGTACCATAGAGTTCCTCCTCGTTTCATGATTTAAGTACGAATTAAGATGCCATCCAATTTCTAGACGATACCAAGTCTCACACAGTGAGAAAAAGCAATTCACACCACAGTTCTTGCGAGTTGTTTGGTGTGTGTTCTCAGTCCATGAAGTAAAATGCACTCATAACATACTTGAAAAGAATCTCAGCATTTTTGTTCTTCGTGTGACAACTGAAGCCATTTCACAACATAGTAATTTCTTTTTCCAATTCTAAGGAGTGACAAGCCATTATTGAGGATATGTTGTCCAAGAACAAGAACAGCATCGGGATCAGTTACTTTAATGTGGTTTATAGAAACTCCACCACTTGTTATGTCACGATACCTTGAAAAAAGAAATTGTACAGTCAATGACACGGCTAGAGCTAGACCTTACAATAGTTTAAAGCTGTCAGTGATGACAAATTAGGGTAGAAACTCACTCAGCCACAGACATACAGGCAATAGCAGACAGTTGAACTCCTGCTGCATACTGTGACAGGGGAGAGGAAGAGGAGGTGGCAGCAGAAGTACCATATTGGATCTTCCATCAGATATGTACTACCACCCCTCTGGTCATGGTACCCAGTGGCAATTTGGCCAGAGGGAGGTCAGGTAAGAGATGCAGCCTCACCAGGAAGGCTGTCTCACACAGTGAGGCTGCCTACTAAGTAGAAACACAGATAAGCTTGAAGCTTGTTTCTAGACTAAGCAGCTACAGAATTAATGCTGCAGAATATGTAAATATTAACTTACCCCCTTGGTCCATCTACAATAGCATTCGCTTTCCGACACAAATCAAGTACTGTTGTCCCAGGTTCAAGCATCAACTCAACATATGGTGCTTCCCTGAAGAGTTCTTGAAGCTCTTGGTCAGACATAGTCTCTAGTGCTGCTATGTCACTGTAATAAAGGGCCCTTGTGCACCTGGTTTTTTTAAAAAAATAAAATAAAAAGAGTAATCAATATTTACATTATGACCAAGACTTGCAGAAGTAGCTTTTATCAATGTTAGCAATTTAGAAGACTCCTCTGTAAATTCTGCATCTTTGCAAAGCTGAAATTTCCTGTTTGCGTTTCCATTAACATTTTGGTCCAAAAATAAACATAAGGCAAAGGTAAAGGTACCCCTGCCCGTACGGGCCAGTCTTGCCAGACTCTAGGGTTGTGCGCCCATCTCACTCAAGAGGCCGGGGGCCAGCGCTGTCCGGAGACACTTCCGGGTCACGTGGCCAGCGTGACAAGCTGCATCTGGCGAGCCAGAGCCGCACACGGAAATGGCATTTACCTTCCCGCTAGAAAGCGGTACCTATTTATCTACTTGCACCCAGGGGTGCTTTCGAACTGCTAGGTTGGCAGGCGCTGGGACCGAGCAACGGGAGCGCACCCCGCCGCGGGGATTCGAACCGCCGACCTTTCGATCGGCAAGCCCTAGGCGCTGAGGCTTTTACCCACAGCGCCACCCGCGTCCCCCCAAAAAATAAACATATTGACAGCCTAAGTCTCCCTTTACCTCTTAGCAGATTCCAGACCTGCTTTCCCATGAACAAGCTTAGTTACTTCAGCAGCAAGCCGTTTCTGGGGCCCCCACTTCTCAGGCTCTTTAGCATGCATTTCCATAATGTGTTGGATTTCCGGAAGAGGGAGGAAAGTGAAAAGCTTCAGATACCTTAAAGGGAAAATAGCCACCATCATCATTTATTGTTTATATGCCCCCCATCTGACTGGGTTACCCCAGCCACTCTGGGTGGCGTCTAACAAATTAAAACGCTATACAACATTGAACATTAAAAACTTCCCTATATACAAGGCTGCCCTCAGAGCCACATTTTGCTTCTGTAACAGACAATGCAGATCTACACTAACTTCAGCCCCTCAATCCATGCTTTAGATTCCGCAAATTTTTAAAATTTTAAAGTAGTATTTTTATGCCTGCTTTTTTAAAACTGAAAATACTGAATCTAAGTCTTCTGAACAATATACAGAGGGGTGTCTGTGTCAGTCTAGTTTTTGCAAAACCAACAAAAGTCTTGTGGTATTTTAAAGAGTAACTTTGTATTTTTACAGTAACAATATGTGCTTACGATATTGACAAGATTATTTCTTGCACCAGTACAACAGCACAAGCCCTCTGCACCATAAAATCAGAGGCAGTCAAACATGTAGCAGAACCTCAGAACATTTTGGGACTTAATAAAAATGTTAAAGAACACCATATGCAGGTTTTATAATACAATTCACAGTGTTCAAAACTCCCATTGTTCTAGGCGCATTTTGTGACAGGGAATTTCATTAGTACGAGCAGTTTCTGAGCTCTGGGAGCAGTACTATGCCTAAGATTTCAGATTAAAACTGCACAGTGGAAGGAAAGGATGGCCTTTTTCTGCCTCCCCACTTCCAACTACTCTCTGAAGACTGGAGAAGAGATCCTCTTAAGAATATTAGGGGGGTGGGCAGGGGAAAGACTAGACCATGTGAAAAATGAACACAATATTTTAGCTGCAGTTCATTCATTTTCAACCTTGTATTCTTGTTATAAAAAGCATGCCTAGACATTCCATTATTGCACCCATAACCCAGGTGTAAGGTGCTATTTAGCTCCTAGTTTTCATATCTCAGTTTCTAACACTGATGGAAAGCAGAAAATACGTTATTGTTTATGCAAGGTTAATAACATTTTTTTGCTAACAAACCTCTATAACCTTGGACACATTTTGAGTGCTGCATTAGTTTTAGCTTGGTCTAGATTGGACCCTTTTGCATATATATTCTAAATTTTAATTTATGCCCCACCTCTTGCCAAAGGAACTCAATATGGCATATATAGTTTTTACCCCCATTTGAGTCATGACAATCCTGGAAGGTAGATTAGGTGAGTGTGTGGCTGACCTAAGATGATTTGGTGTGGCTTTGAACCTGAGTTTTCCCATTTTTCATCTGACGCTAACCACTACCACACACTAGCAAAGCAGTCGTTTTGTTCTAGAACAGTAATTCGCATAGATCGATAAGAAACGTACTTGCCTTTTAACAGCGCTATCTGGCTGTCTGACAAAGTACTGGTATAACTCAAAGGGAGAGGTCCTATTTCTGTTTAGCCAAACAGCATTGCCAGCAGATTTCCCCAACTTATCTCCAGTGGTACTTGTAATAAGAGGCACCGTTATTCCAAATACATCTTCGCCTGTCACCCTAATAGGAAACAAATTACAATACTTAAGTTATGTTACACATAATGGTACACATTTAATTTCAAGACCTACAAACATTTCTACAACAGAAGGCATCCCTATTGCCTTCAGCTACCTGTCAAAAATCTGTTAATCTGCTTACACAATGAACTCTCCTCTCCCATCAGTCACTTGCCTCTTTATGCCCAGTTCTTTTAGAGCTCTTGACAGCCCAGAGCCCCAACATGTCATGCGGAGATACATGCCCCCTCTTGAAGGAACTAGTAATGGCACAAGTATTACTCAGACCTAAGTTATATGATATTTTGGTTGACTAGTTCATTTAATACCCCTAGGCCTTGAATGTTAGACTGCCCCCAAGAAATACTTTAAACAAGCACTGGCCATAAAAAGCTGATACTAAAGGGGAAATTAAATCAATTAGATTGGCCAGTCTACTGCATAATGATACCAAGCATCCATCTGGTGACTTTTCAAGATAATCAAGTCCTCCAGACTGAGGCCATGTGGTGTTAATATGTCCACCATATACATCCAGAAGTTCTCCCTTTTTTAATAACATTGTTGGAACTGTTGGCTTCTCCATAGCAATTACACATAAGTCTGACAGGCTGTGGTTCTCATATTTAAAGTGTTTAGCAACAGATTACTTCACTTGTGTGTGTGTCAAAATTGCTGATTTATGATTTCCAAAATGTGTGCGTAGGTCAGTTGCAGTTTTACCTATGCACTGGATATGACATCCCGTTTTTTGCATTCAATGATATAAATTATACTGCATGACCTTCAGGTGATGTCCTTCCTTATGTACTATGCTCTACCCATCCTGGTATGTGTGCCTCTCTACAACACTCACCCACACCCCTCCCAGCTAAGGATAACACCAAGCATCTAATGAGAAAGGCTGAAGCTCAGTGGTGGAACATCAGCTTTACATGCATAAGGTCCCAGGTCCAATTCCTGTACCTCTAGGCAGGGCTGAGATTGTGCCATCTGAAACCCTGGAGAGTCAGTACTGAGTTAGATGGACCAATGGTCTGACTCTATATAAGACAACTTCCTATGTTTACAGGTTTCTATGAAGTTCACTCTAGTCCACAAAATTTCACACTTTCATTAATTTGTTGGGTTTTTTGGTGCTGAAACAGATCAACATAGGAACAGCTTCCTTTGCAATATAAGCTTGCAAAAGTAGTTACATTCTTGCAAAAGAAGTTACATCCTCCTTTTGCAAAACAGCCTTACAATGATGCTTTCATTTCCAGGGTGCCAAGTCATCCCAGCCATGCCCTTTGTAAATACAGTCATACCTCCGCTTACGTAAACCGGGATATGTTAGCGGCAAACCCATAAGTATATTTCTGGGTTTTTGCCGCGTGTGCATGTGCAGAAGTGCTCTACTGCCGCACGTGTGTGCACAGAATCGGTTGCAGAAACCTCAGGATCCGGCCAGAGCTCCAGAACGGATCCTGTCCACAACTGGAGGTACCACTGTATAAGCTTATACCACCACTGATAAAACCCAATAGAAGGACCAGTCAACTGTTATGGAAACTGCTTTAATAGTAAGGATATGATTAACCCGTTGTCTGCTCTCTATGCTACTGCATGGGCAGGCTTCAAGTTGGATGGGATGTGTACCAAGTTTGATGCTGGTTGGGGGGGGGGGAGTATGCTGTTGCTACCAGCACTGTGTTACGAATTTTCTGTATGTATTCAGAAGTGATTCTAAAATGCAATGGAGTAATTGGAGCAATTTTGTATCCTATAGCATCAGCTCTGATTATCTACACAGGAGGCTAGCCTCATCTTAATTGCTCCTCACTTCTACCTGCCTCTTACCGCACAGTACATTGTCAATCTTTGAGACTTCCTCTAAGCTTAACGACATGTATATGGAAAGCCTCTTGCCAGAAGCTGTATCACACCTGCATTCTGCACACTGGTATCCTATAATCAGATTAATACTTATCTGCACTGAATATGGGAATAGTTGTGTGCACTCAAGGACTCTTATCCCACCTTTGCTAGTGCAGATCAAATCTAAAAACCATGCCAGTAATATCCTGGGGTGTCAGTCTTAGGCTGTGATTCCAGTTTAGCCCACTTCCTGAGAAGTGTTAACAAAGCACAGAGCATTAGGGAAAGGGAAAGGGACCCCTGATCATTAGGTCCAGTCGTGGCCGACTCTGGGGTTGTGGCACTCATCTCGCTTTACTGGCCGAGGGAGCCGGTGTACAGCTTCCGGGTCATGTGGCCAGCATGACTAAGCCGCTTCTGGCGAACCAGAGCAGCGCACGGAAACGCCGTTTACCTTCCCGCTGGAGCGGTACCTATTTATCTACTTGCACTTTGACGTGCTTTCAAACTGCTAGGTTGGCAGAAGCAGGGACCGAGCAACGAGAGCTCACCCCATCACAGGGATTTGAACCGCTGACCTTCTGATTGGCAAGTCCTAGGCTCTGTGGTTTGACCCACAGTGCCACCCACGTCCCTCTAGGGAAAGGTAGATATTATTTATTAGACTTGCTAGCCATTTATTGTGCATACGTCTTCAAAAGGCTCACAACAAAAAATGAATAAATAAGAGGAATATAAAAATATGAATCTATTTTATAATGTTAGACCACTGGTCCATTCATCTATTCTGATTAGAAGCAGGTTTCAAAGTCTCATGTAACCTTTTCAAGTACAGTTGCCCAATAGCTTTCTAACTAGAAGTAGAGGGAACCAATGATGGGACCTTCTGTGGGTAGGGTGTGTGCTGTACCTGTTGAGCAAGAGATGTAACACTTCCATAAAATTTGTCACCATGGGAACTTAACGTAACATAATAGTGCGCTGTTTCTCATATTTATTCATTTTAAAGGTAGAAATGCCTTAAGTGTTATTCAAAAACTAATTATCAATATATCTAGTGCTAGTGATGGAGCAGCAGCCTACTGTATGCTGAAGTGCCAAACATACCTATACCAGGGCAGGGTGGGAGTTTACAGTAGGCCCACAACTTTTATGGATTCCATCTCAGCTATACACCCAGCTAGCTGCAACTGCACAAATTAAATGCATGCAAGGCAGAGAGCTTAAGAACTCTTTGGCATGGAAAGAGCTTTTAAGCTCTTTGTCTCACTTACTGGGCTCTGGGAAACTCTTGCATGGGCTATGAAGGCCATCACTCTGGCCCCAAGAGATCTCACACTGACTGGAAGATAAAATTGCCCATGCAGAGACAGTTCCGGGGGTTGTTTTGACTATAAGCAATTTCAGCTTTACACACTACCCCCCGCAAAAAAACCCCAACGTAACCCCCATGTAAGACACAATCCTGCTGTATAGTAACTTTAGGCAATACTGCTAGTTTCTTCTCCTGACCACATATCAAATACCAGAAAACAACAAAACCCAATCTCTGGATTCAAGTTGTACATGTTTATGTTACACAGAAATCATATTACAATTCTTGTGCTTCTCTCTATGTAACTGCTCCAGAGGCCTTGGATGGACAGTTTATAAATATAATTAATAAATATCAGAAACTACTCTGAGGAGCTTGTTATTTCAAAGGAGTACACTAGAGTTTTCCATCTTCTCAAATTTCTTTAATTTGAAAAATGGTAAAAAATGCTTCCAAAAATGCCTCTCATATTTCTATACCTAAGTGAACTGTTTTATTGACTCAGTGTATGAACATTTTTGTAAAATAACGATTACACATGAAAAAATGAATCAACTCTCAACAGGGGCTCCCAACTGTTTCTCTCAAGTGTCCCTCAGCAGCAGCTGTTCCATCAGGCTGTTGCAGTAGGTGCAGTGGAAGGCAAAGTCAATTCCTTCAAGTTTAGCTTAAGAGTAGCTCCAAGACCAAGGCCCATTTTATCAGCTCTGCTAAAAGACCAGCTCAGTCAGGATCCTCTTGCCCCTGAACTTCGCACAGGGATCTAGTTGGCCACTATTGAGAACAGACTCATAGCTGTCAAATTTTCCCTTTTCTTGCAAGGGAAATTCCCTTTCGAATAAGGGAATTTCCCTTAAAAAAGGGGAAAGTTGACAGCTACGAACAGGACGCCAGACATGATGGGGCTTGCTGGCCTGATCCAGCAGGCTCTTCTTAGGTTCTTAACTGCTCCAATTTCAGCTGGCCGTTATGTACACAACTATTTGACTGTTGAGAACGGACCCCCGACTTTGTCTGCTTGCTTTTCCTCTGCCCTCCCCACCCCATGCCTCTTCGCTTGCAACACACCTGTTGCTATTGATTAGGTATGTAAGCTACTGCTCCGCAATAACCCCTCCTCTATCCAGCTACCCCACCTTGAGCGTGGGGTGAGCGCACTCCAAATGCAGGCCTCCCCCCCCCACACCCCTTATCTCGTACTTGGAGACGAGGTCGTGTCCGGACATGATATTGCCCATCTGGTCCGCTCCTCCCAGCTGGATGCGGCAGCCGTGGTGTCGGTGCAGGTGCAGGAAGTCGTAGGCCTGCAGCGCCGGGTACAGGAACTCGGCCAGCCCCATGCCGCCGGGGCTGCTCAGGCGGGCCTTGCAGCTCTGCCTGCTCAGCAGCGTCCCCATGCGCAGGTGGCCCCCGACGGCGCACAGGAACCCCACCACGGGCTCGCGCTCCAGCCAGCTGGCGTTGTCCAGCACGGCGGCGCGGCCCAGGCGAGTCCCTTCCCCGCTCCAGAAGAGCTCGCGGTGGTTGTCGAAGAGCCTCTGGAGCTCCCGGCGGAGAGAGGCCGCGTTCTCCCGCGCGCGCTCCTCCGGGAGGACCTCGCGCTCCTCCGCGCGGCCGCTGGGGTCTCCCAGGCGCGCCGTGGCGCCGCCCACTAAGGCTACCACGTTGTGGCCCGCGCGCTGGAAGTGCAGCAGGCCCTGCACCGCCAGCAGGTGCCCGACGTGCAGCGAGTCGGCCGTCGGGTCGAAGCCGCAGTAGGCCGTGACGGGAAGGCGGCCCGCCTCCAACAACCCGGGGAGCTGCTCCTCGGCGGCTTGGGGCGGGAAAATCTCCTGGAACAGGCCCCGCTCGAGCTGAGCCGCTAAGAGACCCTTGGCCGGAGCCCGCGGCCGCTGGTCGTGGGACTGCCGCCGTCCCCCAGGTGCCTGGAGCCGGGGCGAAGCGGCCCTCAGGCCGAAAAGCCAACGGCGGCCGGCTCGTAGCGCGGGCGCCGCCATCTTAGTTAACGGAAGGCGGTGCGCGCGCACATGGCGCAGAGCATGCTGGGAGGAGGGGCCCGCTTAGAGGGGAGCTTTGGCGGACGTCTTTGTGGCATTAGTTATTGACCAGGCTCCTTGCTTATTTCGTCGAATAAGGAATAATAATAAGTTTTTAATAATAATAAAAACACACACAGGGTTTTTTTAAGAATTGCCTTCTTTGCCTGTTCTGGACTTGAAGCAGAACTTGCTCTCCCCCCTCCACGAAGGTTCCTTAATGCTCAGCAATCCCCAAAACAAGCGGCCTTGAGCAATGAAGTGTGCTTGGAGATCCCTTGCTCCGACCTAAATTATTAAACGCACAATCGGGGGTATATTACTAAATAAAGTGGCGTGGGAAATAAGAAACTGCCTGTACAAAACAGTATGTTTTAATTTTTTCAAAGGAAAGGTCCAGGGAGGAACTGCTGGACTAGAATATCTGAGCAATTAAATGTTACTGAATCGGTTTCAGTCAAGATCAAGCATGGAAAGGAATTGTCTTTCTTTAGGAGTTAAATTAGCATAACAAGAAGGGCAGAAATAGCAGCAGCGACTGCTCTTTAATTGCTTTATAATCGTAATCAGAAGTACTGAATTTAGTGAGGCTTACTCTCAAGGTAAGTAGTTTCCAGACTATAGCCTTATTGCTTAGGGAAAAAACCAAAACATTCTGCCTTTCTTGGACACACTGAAGACATATCAAAAGGAATACAAATGGCAAACAACAATAGAAGCATTAATCCAACTACAGAGCAATAGCTAAAATACCAGTAGGTGCGTCCTATGGTCCGGTGCGTCCAATCATGCGAAAAATACGGTAACCAACTGAATCAGCAGGAATACCAACAAATTTTCTGAAAAAGTAAAATGGAATCTTATGCATGCTTACTTGGGAGGAAGCCAAATTTCAAAATTGATTTAATTCTGAGAATCTAGTTAATGAAAAAACAGTGGTACAGAGGGCAGCCAATCATACGTAGGGTGAGGCATTCCACATTCCTTTGTGACATGAGCCATAATTGGGCATTTTTGGTTCATGTATTAAACAAAATGGAAACAGGAGCATTTTACCAGTTCCTGGAAACATGCACAGCACAGAGAATCCCAATAGGAAAGATGAATAAACGCAAACATTCATTATAAGATGTATAACCAGTGGAGTAGTGGGACAGAAACAGCATACTGCTACTTATTTCACAGCAGAAATGATCTCCTATGGTCAGAAAGCCACCATTTAAGCTAAACAGATGAGGGGGCAGTTCAATGGTATATATTCGTCCCCACGAAAACTCTGCAAAACAAAAACAGGGTTTTCTTTGATCAAAGAATCTGTGGCTCTGACCTCTGTGCAACAATGATACCCTGCTGTTGCTCACAAAAATCTGAAAAGAAACTGATAACTATTTTAAAATGTTACGGAATCTCAGCTTTCCACTGGGTGGCAGAATTGCACTTAACCTGTACGTAGTAACGCCAGCATTCTATGTGACCCCTGGTAACCAGTGTGCTAAATGCTGCATTTTGACTCAACCTGGAATTTTGGTGTGCCAAACAAGTTTTCATTGTATAATCTTCCTTTATGTGCTGATGCCACTCTGTAACCTTTGGGCCATTCAACATATTTTGCTCAAATGTTTTAGTAACTGAGAAAGCTCAAAATGCTCACACAGCAAGTGTTACATGTGTTTTATTTATTCATTTGACAGTAAGTTCTATATGTCTGTATAGAATTGCCTAAACAAAAACATTTTAGGCACATGCCAAAAAGCATACAGCTAAGGCACTTGCCTGATGTCAATAGGCAGGAAGCCTGGACTTTGAAAGTCATCTAATCTTCCTTGCTGTACAATACTGTATTGTTTTAATTAGTGTTTTTATGGAGCAGTCAAGTAATTTCGTTGTCCCCGAGAGGGGGCAATGACAATAAAGATATTATTATTATTATTATTATTATTATTATTATTATTATTATTATTATTCTAAAGTGTAGGGGCTGTCACACATTTACATCCCACTTTTCCTCCAAGGAGCTGAAGGTGGTTTATCTTTGCAGCAACCCTGTGAGGTAGATTAGGCTGAGAAACAGTTACTAGCCCAAGGTCACCCAGCAAGTTTTTTTTTTTGCTGGGATTTGCAGCTCTCTGAAACCCAGTACTGTAATTAGAGTTGCCAGCATTTTGCCAATCCTTTTGGTGGTGTTCGGCTAGACTCATTCAAATAAATGAACTCAGAGTGGATCATTTAGATACCACACTTAGTTGTGGGCCAGGGGGAGCTTGGAGTTGTGGGGGCCCTTAACTTTGGAGGGACTTTGAAACATGCCTTCAGATATCTTTTGGATTTCAGTGCTGACTATGGAGAATGGGCTGACTTGTCGAGAAGGGGATAAAGATATCGTCAAGTTGGAGTTTCCCCGAGATCTACCCCTCAGTGAGAAAGGAAGGAAATTAAGGATAAGACCAGCAGAAGACAAAGTAAAGTGCAGGTATAAACATGAAGAAGACCTGCAGGAAGGGACATGGAAATGACTTAAGAGCCTCGGATAGAAGGTCACCAGGTTAATGGACTAGATGGAAGGGATAGAAAGGACTGACAAAACCCGAGACCAGGAAGAAGAGACGATGGATGAAGATTGGAAGAAAGTTTAAAAATTCATTTAGAGAATTATTGTAAAATTAACGAGCGTTAGAAAAATGCTAGAATGAAACTATTTGGCTTTAGTAGAAATACTATAAGGAATTATGTACAAATAAATTTTAAGTTTTAAGCTCCAGGGCTTTTTATGGTAAGATAAGGTTAAAATAAATTAAGGTAATTTAATGATAGAATATAGTGAAAGATGGAAAGGATTTGCCAAGATAATTAATAACTAGAATACAAAAAAGGGAGGTGTGAGGAAGTCGATGAAACAAGTTAACGAAAGATAAAGATTTGGGAATATTGGATTTGTTTTTTATTTTATTGTTGGTTTTGATGTATTGGGTGTTTTGTATTTTTCTTTTTTTCTTTTTATTGACTTGTATTGGTTAATTCCCTGTTTTTCTGATTATATTTTTTTTTCTTTTCCTTCTTTTTCTTCTTCTTTTTCTCCTTCTCTCTTTTTATTCTCTGTAATTTTAAACTTTCAATAAATATCATTTAAAAAAAAATAGATACCACACTTAGTTTAACAGATGTGCTAACTAGAACTGGCAAGTCCTCTGAGAGAAATTTCCAATGTTTTAGTTGTACTCTCCATCTTTTAAATGCACGCATCACAGTCCTGCAGATCTCTGTCTGAGCTCCTAGCAGATTTCACAAGATAAGGAGAGGCCTGGTTAGCATTTTTGTGTTTCAATTTCTGCAGATGCATTCCAGGAAGATAACACAACGCAATGTCAATAGCTGGCAGTCAGTTCTGCAAGTCAGCACTCATGAATAACGATGGGAATAGAATAGCCTTACATTAACCAGAAGAAATACATTTCCAGGGAATGGTTGTCTTGTCCTTCCTTGTTTACACCACACATCTCTTGTCTGCCGGGAGTGCTGATTTCCAGCTATAGCTGCTTTTCCAGCTGTGGTCCCTCCTGGACAGAGATGACTTGGCTACTGAACTCCACACAGCCCCCAGAACTGACTATTGCAATGCACTCCTCACGGGGCTGCCATTCCAGACTTAATTTGGTAGAGTCAACTGGTCCAAAACACAGGTTACTGGCCAGGGTTCCATTTAGAGCTCACATAACCCTGATTTTAAAACAGCCAGTTTGCTCCCATACCAAATCCAAGGTTCTCACATTTGTGTTTAAAGCCTTAGATCCCAAATACCCCAAAAGCTGCTTCCATCCCTATTGCTTCTCAAGACTGACAGAGGGGGCTCTCTTGGTAGTTCTGACATCATCAAAAGTCTGGGCAACGGCAGCCTGGGAGGGTTTCCCCCTCCTGTGACAGCCCTAAATTGAGGAACTGCCTTCCCACAGAGGGGTGGGTGTGTCTAACATTTTTCTCGTATAGCTTTTGCTGTATGCTGAACACATACACCCTGGCCTTTGATGGTTAAGGTACTTTGTTTTGTTTTTCCCAACTCCTCCACTGACTTTATACTCTTCTGTTCCAGCTGCAATGGTGTTGCTTCTTCTTCTTCTTCTTCTTCTTCTTTTAAAATGGAACTGTTTTCTCCGGTTGTTGCTTTTTTAAAATGCATATTACGTTGCTGTAAACCTGCCCTGGGACCTTATGGAGAAAGGCAGATAAGAAATCACATAAAGATAACAAATGACTTCTTCCCACCCCACCCTGAACTGCTGCTATCATACCTCCTGATCTGTCCTTGCTATTAACATTTCCTGAATCTAAACTCCAGAACCAAGAGACTCCCTTCTGAATCAGCATGAAGGCCCAGAGCTGGAACTTCTACAAATCTGAGGGAGTTTAAGAAGAATGATGCCTCCACTAGGGGTAACGCCAAGATAAAGAAGTGTTCCTGATAAATTGCAACAGAGCTGAGGAATCCAAGGCCATGTAGTAGAGATAGCCAAATAAGAGAACGTCCAGTAGACTCCTCAGGGTCTCACGCTCCTTCAGGGCCAGGATTCCCCCTATCTAGAGTTTACGTTGACAGATCAGAGCCAGTCACATTATACGGTGTTTACATTTGGGTGGGACTTCACAACTGCCAAAACGTTAGTCTTGGATATAATTCATTATCGACTCTAAATGTATTGTTCACATCAGAAGGTGTGCTAAGAGAATTATTTGGAAACTGAACAGAAGGAGAGGCTTACCGAAATGTTGTTTTACATGTGCTACTGAGGCAGGTTCAGGGTCCTTGTATTGTATTGAAAACTTAGATCCAGGGATCTAAGTTTCTATGGGACCACCCGAACCCTTATGTCTCAGCTCAGTCACTGAAATAATCTGCAGGAGCATCACTGGTCATGCGCCGAGTTGGCGAGACTCATTTGACAGCAACAAGAAATGGCGCTTCTATTGTGGAACACTCTGTCAATACAGTGGTGCCTCGCAA